ACGGAGTGTTAGACGAAGCCTGTGTTGTGATGGTGCGCGTTGTGCACCCTCGCCCTCGATGTCTTACGAGCTCTACATCTGACTGGGTGCCGGGGAGCGTCACGTGACCGCGGGTTTCCCGATTCGCCGGGGGTCAAGGGTCGGCCGCTGAGGCGGTGGCAGGGACCCGACGCTCGCAGACACCATTCGGTTTTTGGACGAGTCCAGGGGAATACACGCCACGTTCTCTTACAAGGCTATACAGCTCTGAGATACCTCCTTAGGCAACACAACAATTGAATGAACAAATTACATTGACCTAGGGTCAGGTATGAAGGTTAAACCGGCCTGTTTTATTACTCCAGCGCTTGCTGTATGAGGTAGTTCCTGGTGCTTATTTCAGATGTATCGATAACAGGATTATAAACCTCCCATAAAGGTCATACTAGGTAACTGACCTGGAATGAACCAGGTCAACACTTTGTTTTTAGGAACATACTGCCTAGCGTAATCTTGCCGCCTATCCAAATGCAAAACTCAAAGCGGTCTTATATAGTTTTGGTCACCATGACCCTAAAAAGGTCAAACAAGGTCACTGACTTTAGATGAGCACGTGAACTTTTAGGACAGTTTTCTGGGTTTCAGGAACCCGTTGGAAATCAACCTGGAATTTGATCTTTTTAACCTTATTTGACCTGAAGGACTTGGCCAGGGAACATAAAACTTTGACCTAAGTGAGCTCACGTACAGGTCAACACACCCTGTGAATTTGGTGTATCTAGCTCTCTTAGCTTCTGAGATCTCAGGGGGGAGTCAAATTGACCCCCACCCGAGCGAAGGATATCCAACCGGCCACCCGGGCGCGTGTTAACCATGGTATGCTTCAAGTGAAAATGAGTGATATAGACGACACAATTTCTCTAATTAGTAAATATACTCCTCAATACTTCAGTGATTGCGACATCGTACCTTGCACAACATTGATTTACAGCCCATTGACGGCCGTTATATCTGGAAATCATACCCACGAACGTTAGGTGCGGACAACTCGACAATTATATCTATATTGGCTTGGATCGCCGCATGGCGAATGTGATGACAGAATATGAATGACGTTATCATGGCGTCATGAATGCCTAGGCGACCTTGAAATAGTGTGCACGAAAACAGTCTACAGAACTTCGCGGGCGTGTAGCTCAGAGACTAGTGCTATACGTCCTATGTAGAGCAAGGCTGTGAACTACACCGAATGATCCTCAAAATGGCTATGCAGTTAAAAAAGCATACAAATGTAGAGCACTGTTTAATACTAATGTATATTTCGTTAAGCAGGCCCTTTCTTGGAACGCCCAATGTTGCAAGTTACATGAATGCTACATGAAGCACCGACATTTTGTAAAAACCTTGTTTTTACCTGGCGTGCTGGACTAAGCCAACCGCCCATGTCACATCCATCTTGAACTCCATGAACCTGTGCTAACTGGGTAATGTTAGCAGGCATGCAGAAAAGGCAGGACACACCCTTGTAACCTAGAGCTTACCCCAACATATCACCATTCGTCGTACGTGATAGGAGGATACCCTGCCATCTACCATATGAAGCAGTTGTGTCCAGTGCAGTTTGAGAAATATGGTGGTGATTTAGGTAAATAGGTGCGCGTGCTTAATGTAGCACATAATTACCCTAACCTCAAATGAAATCTGAAAAAGTGGGGGAGGGGCAGTTATCATTGCTGGCCTCCCACCTTGACACGTGAGGAGGTATAGCATCATCGCCCCCCTCCCATGTTCCTTTGTCTATGGAATATATCAGTATTATGTTCTGAATCCGTGCAAGGCATACTCAGTGCAGGGGCGCCGACCGCAACGGGAATATGCAGCATGAAAGCGGTCCGTTTAAAATACTTCTTGTCGTCCGCGGCAGGTGGGACCGTACGCATACCATTCCATCGTGGGAGCGCTTTCGTCCGGCTTGATAAATCGATCATCCGCATACAGAGCAGCTATGTTGTTATGTTTTATATGACACGCTCACGACGCATCACTAAAGGCGGCCGGTCGTCTGCGAGCGAGGTGTCCAGCCTAATGCATCCTGTGGGAAATGTTTATAATCGTCCGCGAACAGTTCGATCGTGCGGATTTGATGGCCTTGGTGTTTGGTTATCATCCGGCAGCAGAAAATGTTTGTCCGTCGAATGCATCTATTGTATCGGGCTAACCCCCCGACAGCACATTATTGCATTCTGGTGGTCCTGCCGCAAAGGCGATTTGCGAAGTTGCGGTGGTTAGTTAAAAATAATCATTTGCGCTCATTGCGAATGACACCGTGTATTTATGACAATACTTTGGGAACACTACTGGCCGGCAATACGAGTCGGTTATCGTCACACAATATCTGCTTTGTCCATATGACGCCCTGACAGCACATTAGTGAATGCAGCCGGCAAGTCTCCAGCGCGTTGGCCAACGTAGGGCAGCCGGGGAGAAGTACTTATGAATACAGCGAGCAGTGCGACCATATGCATTTGAAAGCGCTGCTGTAGAGGCCTCAGTTGGCACCAAAACAGGCTTATCCCTCGAAAGCATTCATTTTCTTGGGATATATATATATATATATATATATATATATATATATATATACGTAATATATTGTATACAGAATGTAATCTACATTCAATATGTATATATACTATTTAGTCCAGATGAAGATAATCCAGAATTATTTTTTCCACAAAAATAATACGAACACTTTTAACGATGTGAAGTGAACGTCAGCTTGCTTGGCGCTTCGAAAAACTGCGAAAAGATTTGACGCGCTTATCAGCCGGGCGCATTCTCTCAAAGGGGGTGTTGCACACTTATATGGGGTTTTGAACTGAAATAGTCACCTTTAAGACATTTCTGTGCTGTTCACAATCCTGCCTCCCTTAAGACCTAAGCTCCTCTAGTTTCTGAGGTATACGTCCGCAAAAATGGGGAAAGTCATGTCGGGGAAAGTATTTCAAAGTCACCTTGGCATTCAAGACGCCGTAATCATGTCACTCATTTCCAGTCATTCCATAAGTCATGCGTCCATCAAGGCCAAAAAATGATTGTCGAGGCGTACAAGTATCTGGCATCTGTGAGCACGATTTCCATATATAACGGCCGCCAATTGACTCCCAATGAATCAATGTTGTGCAGCCTACGATGACGCCATCAAAACATGACGCATTGAGGAACAAATTTTCTGAACAGACCATTATGCTGTCTAGAGCTGTTTTTCATACTTAGAAAGTATACCAATAGTCATAAGTGAGCTTGTTTCAGCATATCTGATGCTTGATTCAATATCTTCGAATGTGAAACACTCTCTTTAACCGAGTTTTCACGCAGCCACAGAGCTAGTGATTGGCTCACCGGATGCTCGCAAACAAGTCACTCCACCAAAGGCGCATAGTGCTTTACATCCACGGTACGTGGTGTGATATGTCTATTCCTTATGCCTTTACTTTTGCGCTTCGGGGCCAATTAAAAGTCTTTAGCAGATTGCGGCAATTGTGAACCCACCTTCATCAGGTCCCATGCTACGCGTGAACTAGCGTTTAATAGAAATTTTCCTTCACGTTTTGACAGTGGGCAATCTGTTTTTCCAGTGGGTATCGGTTGCTGTAGGATTTGGGGCATAAAATCAATACAACAAAGCACCTTTTTGAGTTCCTGAAGAGCTGATATATTTTTTATGTCTAACGTCGACACGTTCTTTCCAGATAAGACGGCACTGGTAGCCTTATTTCTCGTCGGATAACCAGCAGAAGATGAGAAATAGATGCAGTAGTATTTCGGCCACGTGTCTTTGTCAAAATAACTATGTTTTAAAACGATATACTTGTTTTGACAAAGACATGCAGGCGTAATATTAACGCATCAAATTATCCATTCTCCTAGCTATCTAACGAGCAAAAGGGCTAATACCACTGGCTTATCTAGTCGTGAAATGTTCCTCGAAAATGCATTTAACAGCTTACGTAAACTTTTTTCTATCATATTATTATATATTATATCTTCATGCATGCCGCTAAGACTAGTCAAGGCCGTTGCACGTATACAACGTAGCTCGTTACACGGGATAATATGCGTTGCGTTCGCAAGTAGCTGCCTGTGAAACCACTTTTTTGAGACTGCCATGATGCCTGGTGGACGATAGCCTTGACTATCTATAACTGACTGATACTCTAGACTCGTCCAATGATCGTCAAGTAACACGAGTGAATATGGGGTCACGTCGTATCTAGGCCCATTTACGCCTTAAATGCACTAGTTTTTGCAGCGTGTACAGGTAGCATGGTGTTTGGACAACCAATGCTGTTTATTTTGAATTCGAGCATGCGTCGAATCTGAATTTTAAAGTGCAATGCGCATTTTGGTTACGTGATATTCAGCTTGTATTTCATTCAGCAATCAATTTGAATTCCCAAGTTTCAGCATAACTATCCAAGAATACCACAAACGAAATCTATCCCGAAAATTGTCGTGGCGAATTCCGATGTTGACACGCGAGGGAATAAGTGACATCGAACAGTGTGTTGTTCGGGGAGTAACAGCGAACCCACGCACCGGAACAAGGGCTCGTGAACTTGCCTGCCACAGGCAAACATACAGCTGGAAACTGGCGAAGAGAATATCCAAGTAAGAACAGCTAGACCGTCATGCCATTGAGTCGTACGGCCCGGACAAACTGCTTAAATATGTGTGGAAGTAAAAGTATTAGCTGGATTAGAACTGTTGCAAATAGCTGATGGTATCAATGTTTTGGGAGTGGCTATTGTTAGCGTCAATGCGCGCTGGGCCGACAGCAGCTTCACGCGACGGGCGGCAGCCAACTGTGCGGAGCGTAAGCCACCGGTCAGGCCGCGGTCACCGAGTCTTGCAACATGGGGGCACAGTCCTTTATTGGCCTTGCCCCTGTAGATGCTTAACCACGTGGCCTCGGCGTGTACCTTGCGCACAACTGGCGCCACAACGCGGCTTGTTCGAACCCGTCGCAACATCACATGTATTCCGGGCGCCTGGATCGGATTCCACTGCGTGATGGAGAACTGCATGAAGATGGAGTACTATACATTCACCATCGATCACGGCAATCCACTCATGAATCAACCTAAAAGTGGAGCGGAGGCAAGACTGCATAAACCTCGCTCAAACATCCTATAACCACACGAGGTTCACATGCGACCCGCGCCATTCGGACTGTGAGTCCACCAGTCGAAAGAACAAGACAACGATGGCATCCAAACCACGTCCAAGACACCTTACACAGAATAAGGATTTGTTTTAGACACACGATTGCACGACTCTCTACAACACGCACGTTGACGGGTGGCGAGCATCGGGCCGACCCCGAGACGAACGCCCGCCGGCTGAATCACAGGCCGCCGCCAGGCCGACCAATCCACTTCACACAGAGAGGGGATTCCACGTCAGCCTCGGCGGTCGCACGAAAGTTGCAGCCACTCCTCAGCAGCTTAACGTCAGTGGGTGGTCACTGCTCCGCGCGCCGCCCCCGCGGAGGCTCGGGGTCCGCCGCGCGCGACCTCTGCTGCCATCTATAGATGACGCTACCACCGATGACACTGTCCGGCGCGCGCCGGCCGCGTGGACGCCTGGCGTCCGCCGGGGCTGCCGCCGCGGGCACGCGATCTGACCCGTCGCAGCCGAGGGAGGCGCCAGCGGCCCCCCTCAGCGCAGCCCCGGTCAGCGCACCGCATCATCCAGCATCGTCCGCAGTGCCAGACTCGAACGTCCGTACTGACCGCGCGCGTGCGCCGCCTCCGACTCCTCCAGAATGGCCGGCTCCTCGTACGTGCTGGAGCGCCGGCCGAGCCGCACAAAGCTGTCCGGATCATCGGCGTCCAGGTCGTGCACGTACGCGTCGCCCAGCTGGATGAGCTTGGTCACCAGCTGGCTGTCGTCGAGGGGACGCTCGCCGGCGGCTGCCGGCTCCTGCTCCGTCGAGTCGGCGCGCGCGCTGCGCATCGAGCGGCGGCTGCTACGCACATTGCGCTCGAGCCGCGGCGCGTCGCGGCCATCCTCCGTGCCCTCAGCCGGCGGCGGCAGCGGCGCGCCGCGCGGCGCGGCGCCGTTCGCCAGCAGCGCGCCCGAAAAGGTGGACGCCAGCGAGTTGGGCCGCGGCCGCGTGGTGCCCGGCCGTGAGTGCACCACTTCGTCCCAGTGGCGCAGCAGCAGCTCCATGCGCGCGCGCGTCTCGCGCTCCGCCTGCGCCAGGTCCAGGTCCCTGCCCTGCGGGCACGGCGGGGCGCGACGCTCAGACCGGCGGCCCGGCATGCTCGGCGAGACGGCGAGCCGGCTGTCTGGCTGACCCGTCACGGGAACTGACCGCGTTTATTCGGGGCCCAGGACTGCCCGGTACCGTACATACATTTGGTGACAGTGCAGTGTACCTGGCGCCGCGAGGCTGCTATGGGGCTATCGAGCGTTAGCGGAGAAACAGGTACGCTCAGTAAGAAAGACTTTTAATACAAGCACCGAGACCAAACTTCAATAGCAGCATAGAGCTGTACAGTCATGACGTAGTTCCTCATGCATGTTAAAAAATTCCAGTGACTAAACCTGTCACAGAGCTATAATCAGATTCCACAGTACTGACATGACCGGACTTCACAGTACTGGCATCATCGGACTACTGACAGAGCTGCGACGGCTCGCCAGGGCTTTGGTATCATTGAGAATAATTAAAAGAAGGCCCATGTTGCTCTATCCTGACGCCAGCGACGCAACCATCTTGTGACACACATGAATGTCATATCTGGCAAAAAGACACGGGCACATGCACTGTCCAGAAAATCCGCTCCTTCCTTACCTGTTCGATTTTTTGGTCCAGCTGTCGGAAAAACTCCAATTGGCTAGCCGAAAGTACTTTCCTGCAATCACAGACAGTGTTTAAGCACTCGTTTTTCTCACCGAACACATTATTTACCCAGTACGAAGCGCATAGCACCCCTAATATCTGCCTACCATGTATATGTCCGTTCAGAGGGCGGGCAAGACCCATTTTGATGCGTCAGTGTACTGTAATGGTAAAAGGTACTTGACACCCAGACGTCTTCCGAGCAGGTGTTTACTTCATTCCTAGCAACACGCGTAGCGTGATGCTATTTTACATGCGAGCCTAGGAGCTATTGGTATTACACAGCGCGTCGGCTACTCAGACCATTTTGCAGTCTAGGAGCTAAGACCAAAAGGTAATTATTCCTGCTGCTATGTATACATCAATGTATATTTATTATTATATATAAATATATATTACATGTCATTCGTATGTACACACACACATACATATATATATATATATATATATATATATATATATATATATATATATATATATATATATATATATATATATATATATTAAGATGTATATGCATAGCGTACAGCAGAGCATACGTTACTTTGTTTATACATACAATTTACGTGTACACTTTATTTTCTTTCGTCTCCATTCTTTCTCGCTCTCTCCTCTCACGCCTGCCCCCCACTCACACCTAATTCCCATCGCCACGCCCGTCGCCGTCCGTCTGCTGAGCGCTGCTCCGCTCACTGGTCACCAAGAGCCGGTCCGGCGCGAAAGCAGCCCCTCTCTCGGCTCCGCCCTACTCACGTCTGGTTCAGTACCGGTGTGGCGGTGACCGAGAAGCGCAGCTTGGACTCGGCGCCGCCCTACTCACGTCTGGTTCAGTACCGGTGTAGCGGTGACCGAGATGTGCAGCTTGGACTCGGCGCCGCCCTACTCACGTCTGGTTCAGTACCGGTGTAGCGCTCCGCCCTACTCACGGCTGGTTCAGTACCGGTGTAGCGGTGACTGAGATGCGCAGCTTGGACTTCTTGCTGTCGGCGCCGCCCTACTCACGTCTGGTTCAGTACCGGTGTAGCGGTGACCGAGACGCGCAGCTTGGACTTCTTGCTGTCGGCGCCGCCCTACTCACGTCTGGTTCAGTACCGGTGTGGCGGTGACCGAGATGCGCAGCTTGGACTTCTTGCTGTCGGCCGAGACTTCTGCTCCAGCCGACTCCTCCGACGAGCCATCCGACGCGGAAACACTGTTGCGCCGCTCTGAGGGGGAGGGGGAGGGGGGGGGGGGCGTCAGGGCCCGCGGCACGCTATTGACCTTGTTGCTATAGATACGGTGGCGGGCGGCTCGGCGGCCGAGCGGCGTGCCGTTCGCCGCCCCAAATGAGGCTTGGCTGGCACATGAGCCCTGCACCCTCTGGACGGTCAGAGGTCAGTGTGCAGTCGGCTACCGGCGGCGGGTCAACCAGGTGCAGACTCGTCAGTGGTGCGTGACCTGGGTCCAGCTCCAGACGGCTCAGAGACGACTACATGTGACGGCCCACACGTGACGTCACTGAACCCGAGTACGAACACCATAACGCTGCCTCGCTTAACTTTTCAGAGGCATCCCTTTGACCACTGAACGCATGAAAGTAAAATTCTAGCTTGCTTTGTTTCACATATTTTCAAACGTGGCGCGAAAAGATAAGCTTTCTGCGTTATCAAATAATTACCCTTGACGTGGATTTCAAAGTTCTGGACGGTAAAATGTACGAGATCGGCGCCCCGCAAGACATTTTGCCTCGTGTGAGTACCACCTCCTATCGCTTATTGCTTTTGGAAGAGTTAAGTGGCTACATCATGACCGTTATCACTGCTTTTTACTCGCCCGCCCTTTTACTGGTTCGTTTGATGAAAGGTACATACATCTCGTAAAATTTTCGTGAAGATGACTTCATCGGGCAACTGGCATGTCATTCTTAAGAGACACCCAAAAACGATCTACCGGAAAAGAGGCAAATCACTTGAAAATTACTGCCAGGCCTCTGCATTTCCACTAAGGCACGCCGAACTTGGCGTTGGCACGAGTTGCAGTGAACCACCCATGCCGTTGAAGACAGCAAAATACCGCGTGGAGGTGAAGGTTAAACGGCGGAGCATACCAAAGAGGCGACGATGTGCATAGCGGATGGCTGTTGAGTTGGAGATCGTTACAAAACTTCACGGAACATTGTGTGGTAAGCTGACTTGAGTCGATGAGAGTCGGATAGCCTGCCTCGGTCGTTACATTTGTGTTTAACGTAGTTGAAACGAATGTCCTAACTGGCAGTGAGCCAGCCGGGGCACCAGAAACAGCGGCAGTTTGTACGTTACGTCGGAAGTTCGTATGGTAATGTTGCGGTGTACGCTGGCCCCCATCACCAGCCGTGCAGCTGGCTCCAGTGACGCTGCACGGCGGGGCGGAGCGGCTCCAGCGTGACCTGCCGAGCGGGGCCACTCACTCGATCCCTTCCGGCGCTTCTGCTGGGGGCTGTCGGAGTCGGAGGACTTGCTCAGTCCGCAGCCCATCTCTCGGCGCCCGGCTCACTCATGGCCGGGCCGGGGCATGGCCGACGCCGCACCCCTGCAGCACAACATGACCTCAGGTCAGTGACGGGGCCGACGCCGCACCCCTGCAGCACAACATGACCTCAGGTCAGTGACGTAGCCGACGTCGCGCCCCTGTAATGAAACGTGACCTCAGACCAGTGACATGGCCGACACCGCACCCCTGCAGCACAACATGACCTCAGGTCAGTGACGTGGCCAACGCCGTATCCATGCATCACAACATGACCCCAGGTCAGTGACGTGGCCGACGCCGCACCCCTGCAGCACAACATAACCCCAGGTCAGTGACGTGGCCGACGCCGCGCCCCTACAGCACAACATAACCTCAGGTCAGTGACGTGGCCGACGCCGCACCCCTGCAGCACAACATAACCTCAGGTCAGTGACGTGGCCGACGCCACACCCCTGCAGCACAACATAACCCCAGGTCAGTGATGTGGCCGACGCTGCACCCCGGCAGCACAACATAACCTCAGGTCAGTGATGTGGCCGGCAACGCGCCCCTGCAATGAAACGTGATCTCAGGTCGGTTGCATGGCCGACATCGTACTCCCGCAACAAAACATGACCTCAGATCAGCGACGTGTTTGGCGTCGCACGTAATTTGACGGCGACAGTCATGGGGGGTTCTGGGTCTGACGTCACATCGGCGACGCGGGAGCTGCCAGTCGTCCCGAGCAAATGAGTTGATAACAGTTGATGACAGTTGACGGCAGATCACCAGGAACACTGCTACGACAGCAACGGTTACTCCAACGATAGGTTAATAAACCAGACTGTATTAAATGCTTTACAGGTGATTACTGCCAAGACAGATTCCCGTTTAAAACAACAACCTCGATACAGCCGCCGGGCTGACTTTTTCCCTCCTGCTAAAGATCTTCTCAGCTACCACGTCCACACCAGTCCTCCAAACAGATAAGTGCTCATATATTTGGTTTTCGCTAGCGACCCATCGCATGGTTTTGCGTACGTTTACACTGGCGCTATCACTGAGGCTGGTTTACTCTGCGGCGCATGCTGCACGCTACGGTCACCACCGTTGCAATCTCTCGCGCTGATAGCAATATTTTTAAAATGTGTTTTAGTTACTTAATGTTTCCACAGCATAAAGCATGAACACACAACTACATGGGCGAACCTGGATACAGCAACCTTTACAGGGGATAACCAGTACTTGTAGCCATCGCACCATTTCAAGCCAGACAATGACAGAATGCGTAAACCATGCTTATCCATCCCATTCCATCACATGACATGGGGCTAAGATGTTACAACCATTTTATAGTCCTTTATGCATGCATTATATATGTATATATACACACATGCGTATATGTATAAACACACATGTATATATATATATATATATATATATATATATATATATATATATATATATATATATATATATATATATATATATGTGTGTGTGTGTGTGTGTGTGTGTGTGTGTGTGTGTGTGTGTGTGTGTGTGTGTGTGTGTGTGTGTGTGTGTGTGTGTGTGTGTGTGTGTGTGTGTGTGTGTGTGTGTGTGTGTGTGTGTGTGTGTGTGTTACATTTTACACGGAATTTCTCGTCTGGGCCTGGTGTGGAGGCCACCGCGCCGACAGCTGTCCGACCCGACCCCAGCCAGTCCAGCTGCTAATGAGAGCCGATCGATAGGCGCAAACGCAACGAACGTGCCGCGTCGCCGGGGAGGTCCGGCAAGCCGGGAGAGGCCCGGCGAGCCAAGGCGGGGGCTCATCTAGCGGTGCGCCGCCGGCGGCGGTGGGAGGCGATTGGACTCGGCTTCCGTCGGCGCCGGCGGCGGCGGCGGCGGCGGTAATGGGCCGGCATGCACTGACGCAAAGGGTCGCCGGTGACGAGCCCCGCCGGCTGCCTGCGGGCCGGGGGCGCCAAGGAGAGAGGACCTCCGCCCCTGTGTCCGGACGGCTGGACTCGGGAGCCGATAGAACCCCGGCCTCTGTCTACATGGAGATAGACGCGCGAGACGGTTGACCCTCGCCTCTGTCACAGACCCCCGGCCTCTGTCTACATGGAGCTGGACTCGCGAGACGGTTGACCCTCGCCTCTGTCACAGACCCCCGGCCTCTGTCTACATGGAGCTGGACTCAGAAGGACGGCAGACTCCCGGTCTCTATCTCCAGGAAGCTGAACTCGGGTGGGAGAGTCTCTGTCTCCGGCCGGCTGGACTCGGGGGACAGTAGACCCTCAGTGCCAAATCCGGCCGGCTGAACTCGGGGGACAATAGACCCTATCTCCGGCCGGCTGAACTCGGGGACAGTAGACCCTATCTCCGGCCCGCTGGGCTCGGGAAACATTAGACCCTATCTCCGTCCCGCTGGACTCGGATGGCAAACCCTCGGCTTTTGTCTCCGGCCGGCTGGACTCAGAAGGCAGCATATCCTCAGTACTATCTCCGGCTGGCTGGACTCCAGGGGGGGGGGGGGCAGCAGACCCCCGGTGCTGCCTCCGGCCGGCTGGACTCCAGGGGGGGGGGGGGGGCAGCAAACCCCGGTGCTGCCTCCGGCCGGCTGGACTCTGAGGACGATACACTCGCCATCCACACCTCCGGCTAGTGAACTTAGCCCCCGAAATAGTAACTCTGGCTTCGTCGCCATCCACACCTCCGGCTAGTGAACTTAGCCCCCGAAATAGTAACTCTGGCTTCGTCGCCATCCACACCTCCGGCTAGTGAACTTAGCCCCCGAAATAGTAACTCTGGCTTCGTCGCCGGGCGGCAGGATAATGGGAATGAGATTAATGAACTCGGGGCCGGTGAGAACTCGAGCTCGGTGAGACTGATGGACAGTCGTCATGTAACGATGAACATCGGCGCATATCAACTGTTGGCCCCTAGATTTAGTAGACTGCAGCATGCAGATTCCTTTCACCCGATAGCTGGACGTCAGTGACTGCAAGTTTAGATCTCGATCCCTTCGACGTGTAAACAGTCTGGATCTCTGTCTCCGGGCGGCAAATCACGGGGGCAACCCCCCGACCCCACACCAAACCGAATGTTTGGACGATGACGCCGTTTCTCGGACCGGCATTCTCTCCGGCTGGGCCGTGCAGAGGTAGCTTGGATCGGCTTCAATCCGTCGGAACAGCGGCACGTCAGGGGCTACCTCTGATTGCCTCACCAGCTGTCCGGCCGCCGTGCATTCAGACGTTCGGCGCGCATCCTCCACTACAGAGGAACACCGGCCACAATGCAGCGCTGGGCCATTGTTCGTTAGTGTTGGCGTGCTCGGGTGCTGACTCGCCCGCGCTGTACTCGAGACGGGCACTGGGCATCTGGTCGAGCTGCTCCCGGCCGCTGTGCCCGCAGCGACAAAGCAAGCTGCTTGCCGAAGGTGCAGACGAGCAGCCCAAGGTCTATCCAGGGCCATGTTTCTCTTACGCCTCCGCTGCACGCGAGCCGTGGTCTGTTTTTAACCGCTACCGCCCCTCCGCCGTGACTGGGCTGGCACAAAGAGCGCATGATCTGGTCGGCAGCCGGGGAAGGCAGGCGCCGCTGGCTGGAGGGGCCACGTCGGCAAACACTGTGCTGGTTAGGTGCCAAATCAAATGGAATGAGCAGGGATTCGCACTGCTTACCTAAATCGTAGCTTTCCCTGCAACGTAGCTCAGTGCAGTTGCGCCACAAAATGCCTAAATGGCGCAGCAGCGTAACATGCTCAGGTTTACCGATAAAGGCTTACATGAGCCTGTGCCACTTGACTTTAAAATAGGCATGTCTACCATCGTGCCCGCATACCATTTCTGGCTTGTGCCGTTATGTGCCCGTTACATTTCCGTATATTCACGCTATCTACCTTTAGCGCTAGTCAAGCTACGAGCTTCTCTAAACAATCACGCAAACGCTGTAAGCACAACTGTAGCACAAATGCGCAGAGCAGACATCCAGTCATCATACAACAACTTTTGGCTGCCGACTGATCACATCTGGGGTAGCGGCCATGCGAGTTGGTGCCCGTAGTCCTTCCAAAGCACGCTTCGTCTGGCTGTCTTCTGTGTTCCTGGGACGCCGACTCCGTGGAAGCGTCGTGTCCGAGCCATGTGCGGTCACGGAAAGACAATCGCCAGAGCTTTGAGACACTTCTGGAGCGATGCGATGCAAAAGTAGCCAAAAGAAGTTGAAAACTATGTGAGCGGTGGGTGCGCCCGTTGTCCATATTGCCCGCAAACGCGAAATAAGGGCACCCAAGCTGCCTCCCTGCCATGTAGCCGGTTGGCCTTCAGGTACAGGGAGCTCGTGGCATAAGGTCGCAGATGACTAGAAGCGTGGCTTACAGCGTGGTCGATCCTTAAGTACAGTGCTATTGACCGAAACGAAGAATCTGGCGCAGTGAGGATTGGTAGAAAAGGCGTCAGCTTACTTGACTTAATGCAGCATGTCCTACCACGCGTATCCGCACACGTTTCTACTTCAGGTGTTTAATACTTATGAGACAGCCAGTCACACCCGAGTGCGACGCCTGTTTTTTTCGCATGCACTGAGAAGCGCTCCGCGCGGTCTGACACCTGAATACCCTGTGATCGACGGAACGATGCGGGCGGCGCGTACAAACGTCGATGGAGGCAGGCGTGACGGCACCGGCGGTCAGCCAGCGGCCAGCGGCGTCCGTCTGCATCAGACCGGGCACGCCAGCTCCGTCCGTCCGTGTCCGGCCTGGTAGCATACGTCCGTCCGTGTCCGGTTTACCAGGGAAGCTACGTCAGTCCGAGTCCGGCCGAGCGAATTACGTCAGTCCACGCTCGCCTGACCAGACCAGCTCCGCCGGTCGGTTCCAGTACGGCACTGGTGAGCCGTCTACCGTCCGAAGAGCGGACAGGCTGCGGTCACTGCGAGCCGGCGGGCCGGCCAGGTTCAGCCCCGTCGGTGGACCTGAACCTGCCCTGGTCCGAGGCAACGCGCGCCTAATCACGCTTATGCGTCGATTCGTCCACGCGAGAAAAGAGCCCTTTTCTTCGTGTCCACGTCCGAGCAAAGCACAAGCCTTTGGAGTA